CACGTTGTCCCCTCTTATATATACCCGCCTACCCCATCTAGTAAACACTAGAGCATTCATGAAGAAACAAGATAGTTCTAGAAACTAGAGGGCGCCACAGCAGTCATGTGACTCGCTGACGCAACACTGCCCCCTCCTTAGTATCCTCTGGATTCTGTAAATCATCAATTTCTCAGGACATGCTAACGTTTTAGGTTCCACTTTGCTTCAGTCATTAGATGAAGATTTATTGCTGATAACTGGCATGACTATTTCACTTCCTGTAATACGGTACATTAACTCAGGCTCAAAAGTACGAAAGAATCTCACCTATAATGAAAATGCTGCTCTAATTTCACTGAAACATTAAAATTAAATTACTATTAAACCAGCTGATAAGGTCGGCGCCATTGTCATTCAAGATAAGTTCGACTACATCAACGAAGCTTACCGACAACTTAATGATACAAACCACTATAAAAAGGGAGATTTGGATCCCACACAGCAATTTATTAAAATTATCGGAAATATTCTATGTAGCTTACAGAAAAGCTAACACATCAGTCGTAAAACGTTACAGTTCCTTTACCTAAACACCCAGTTCCAGGTCTCTTTTACATGTTACCAAAATACACGAATCCAACAATCCTGGACGTCCTATTATTTCTAACTGCGCGTTGTAAAAGCCTACTGAAAACTTATCTGCTTACGTTGATCACCACATCAAAGATACTCCCACGTATGACACCGTACATTAAAGATATGAAACATTTTCTGAACATAATCTCTGATTAACAGCAAACGGAAAAATTCCTCCAAATACTATTATTTGTACTATGAATGTTTCTCCTCTCTACACAAACATTACTCACGACGAAGGAATAAAAGCCATATAATCTTCTCTGCTAAAATTAGACAAACCCAACATCTAAATTATTACAGACTTAGCTGAACTAGTACTTACACATAACGATTTTGAATTTAATAATGAGTTCTATATTCAAACAAAAGGCACATCTATAGGCACCAAACTGTGCCATAATGTTTATGGGGGACTTAGAGACGAGACTGTTTGAAAATTGTACATACAAATCAACGTTTTGGAGACGTTACATTGATGACATTTTTTCATTTGGAAAGGAAACGAATATTTATTACTGTCCTTTTATAGACATACTGTTACGTCTCCGTTTGTTAAT